TGGGTGAGCTGTCACGTGGCACGGTTGCTCAGTGGTCTTTAAGTTCATATTTACACGACACAATGCCCCAAAATACACATACAAACATTATTCTTTGAAGATAACTTAATATAATGTGTTATTTCTCAAAATAGTTTAATTAAAAAATGTTTTTTTAACTAATAATAGACTGTTTAAGGGTGACACAGTGGCGCAGTAGGTAGTGCTGTCGCCTCACGGCAAGAAGGTTGCTGGTTTGAGCCTCGGCTGGCTAAATTGTTTGTAGTGTGTGAGTGTGAATGAGTGTGTATGGTTGTTTCCCAAAGATGGGTTGCGGCTGAAAGGGCATCCGCTGTGTAAAAACGTGCTGGATAAGTTGGCGGTTCATTCCGCTGTGGCAACCCCGGATTAATAAAGGAACCAAGCCGAAAAGAAAATTAATAAATGATAGACTGTTCAGGGCGGCACGATGGCTCAGTGGTTAGCACTGTGGCTTCACAGCAAGAAGGTCGCTGGTTTGAGTCCCGGCTGGGCCAGTAGGCATTTCTGTGTGGAGTTTGCATGTTCTCCCCATGTTGGCATGGGTTTCCTCCGGGTGCTCTGGTTTCCAAACACATGCGCTATAGGGGAACTGATCAACTAAATCAGCTGTATAGTGTATGAGTGTGTGTGTGAATGAGTGTGTATGGGTGTTTCCCAGTACTACGCTGCTGCTAATAGGGCATGTAAAACATATACTGGAATAGTTGGTGGTTCATTCCACTGTGGTGTCCCCTGAAATAAAGACTAAGCTGAAGAAAAATGAATGAATGAATGCAAAACCTTGTGTTATTTTATAGATGTGATATGCTGAAGTGTGTGTTGTGATTAACGGGATCGCTCATACTGTGCAGTATTGAGTGGGAAATCTCTAGAGCGGCGTGGGACTGTGTTCGTGAGGGAATCCTGTGTGTGTATATGTGTGTGAGCGAGCACTAGATGAAATGGCATTTCTCCTGAAGATCATTCTGCTCACGCTCAGTGCGGTGCAGTCCGGTGGAATCTTCCCGGACGGCTCGTTTGTCTTCAGGTTATAAATAATACTTGATTAACCGGCCGCTAATGACCCCTTCAGCTTTATCTCAGATGCTTCAATCTCATTAGTATTATGCATACATGATCAGAAAGCATTATTAACACCTGCACTGCATGTATCGAGCGTCCTGTGCATGCGCTGTCTCTGAATGATTGGAATCAGCTTGAATGATTCTGCTCTGATGCAACGACACGTGCACGCTCATTCTGATTCTGTGCTGCAGCAGTCCATAAAACACCGCCGGCGCTCTCACTATAGTGCTGGCCATCATGACGAATCTCCTAATCCTCAGAAATCACGACAGGATCATATTTAGACACAAATTAAATTAAATATAGGGTTGAAGTCAAAATTATTCCTGTTACATTTAGATTATTTAAACTTATTTCCCAATATACTATGGAAAATACTTATATATATATATATATGTATATGTATGTGTGTCTAATGGAGAGAATGTGCTTTAAACATATTTATAAACAGTTTTAAAAACTAATTTCTAAAATCTAAAAGGTGGCATGGTGGCTCAGTGGTTAGCACTGTGGCCTCACAGCAATAAGGTCGCTGGTTCGAGCCTCGGCTGGATTAGTTGGCATTTCTGTGGGGAGTTTGCATGTTCTCCCCGTGTTGGCATGGGTTTCCTCTGGGTGCTCCAGTTTCCCCCACAGTCCAAACACAGGCGCTATAGGGGAATTGATTAACTAAATTGGCCGTAATGTATGAGTGTGTGTGTGTGTGTGTGTGTGTGTGTGTGTGTGTGTGTGTGTGAAAGAGAGTGTATGGGTGTTTCCCAGTGATGGGTTGCAGCTGGAAGGGCATCCGCTGTGTAAAACATATGCTGGACTAGTTGGCGGTTCATTCTGCTGTGGCTACCCCTGATGAATAAAGCGACTAAGCCGAAGGAAAATGAATGAATGAATGAATTTTATTTGATCTAACATATATATTTATAAAAAAATTATAAAAATATAAATATTTTTGCATTCCATCTATAAAAAATTATTTACTTTTTTGCATTGCGTTTATGGGGATTTATTTATTTATTTATTTATTGTTTATTTATTCAACTATTCATTTATTATTTAATTATTTATTTATTTAATAATTGCTAAAATGGCAATAATTAATTAATTTAATCAATTTATGTATTATTATTATTAATTAATTAATGTATTTATGTATGTATGTATTTATTTATTTATATGTGTGTGTGTGTGTGTGTGTATAATTAATCTTGGTTCAAATTTAACTATTTTTAATAGTATTATTTGTTATATTAGCAATAATTTATTATTTAAATAAAAAAAACATTAATTGTGCTATTAAAAATAAATTTTTAGAGTTTTAAAGGTATTATATACAATTATGATCATTTGAAGAGGTTGAGAAAATAATATCACATTAAAAATAATATTAGTGGTAACATATATTGTGATGAAATATAACTCAGAAATAATGTTTAACCCACCATAAAGCCACCAAAATTTATTGTATATAAAATATACTGTGTTCATTCATTCATTCATTCATTCATTCATTCATTCATTCATTCATTCATTCATTCATTCATCCATTCATTCATTCATTCATTCATTTTCCTTTGGCTTAGTCCCTTTATTCACCAGGGGTCACTCTCATACTCATTCACACACACACTATGGCCAGTTTAGTTCATCAATTCCCCTATAGCGCATGTGTTTGGACTGTGGGGGAAACTGGAGCACCCAGAGGAAACCCACGCCAACACAGGGAGAACATGCAAACTCCACACTGAAACGCCAACTGACCCAGGTGGGACTCAAACCAACGATCTTCTTGCTGTGAGACGCTAGTGCTAACTACTGAGCCACTGTGCTGCTCTATGGTGTTTATATAAATTCTATATCTATTTATATGATATTTTAATCAAGTATAGTTATTTTTTTTCAGTTAATGAACTCTCCCTCCCCCTTCAGCAACATCTCTTCTCTGATTGGTGTTTTACTCATATGAGTGCGGGATCAACCTGTCACTCAACCAATCAGCCAATAGCAAACCACAACCATCCGAATAAGTCTCTCTGGACAGAATCAAGCTTTACCCTACATCTGTCCTTGTCCGAGAAGCAGTTTCACTCAGATGTTTTTCGACTATAGCAGTCTGACAGGCACTCATGTGATACCGAATCCCTCGTCTGGGAATTGTGTCTCTATCCACTCTCCCTCTCTCTTTCCCTATGCAGTAAATCAGAAGCTCTGTGATTTATAGTAAATGCACAGCGACTGCTCAGAAATATGGCTTTATTGCTCGCCATTCGCTCAGTGAGACGACAGAAGCT